AAAGAAAGACAAGGTTGTCAACTGGTGCCTTTTGCTAATTAGAGATTTTAAAATGTTCCTTTTTCATGGCAACAAAGTTCCGAATCCCACAGTTCCATGGTATTGTTTTGATAGCTCAATAACTACTCTTGTGTGCGGGCAGACAGATTAGATAGAAATTCTCTCATCAAGATGGACTTAAAGTAACACATGATTTGTTCTTTCGAATTTGGGGGCCGAGCGGATTTAATCTTCCGATGACTCATGTTGTTAACAGTGGATGGTTCTCCTTAACATGACTAATTTGATACTTTGAGGGTTGGAGTTGTAATCATGAACCGTCTTGTTTGGTTGGTATAAGGCAATATATCTTTGTACATAGACAAAAACTCCTAACACATTATTTATATTTCAGTTCAGTGTGGTTTCATGGTACAAAAAACAACAACCCAAAACAACAACAACAACAACAAAATAAAAAAAAAAATAATAATAAAATAAATAAATAAACAAAACAAACAAACAAACAAATAAAGGAACTGGCCACTTATGGCTGCACTCACGTTTGCTATAGGCAAGTTCTCAAAATACCTTGAACGCTCATCTACTGCCATAATGATAACGTAGCTAAAACAATACTAAGAGCAAGGAACAAACGCAGGTTCCACTATTAAGGTTACCAAAACACGACCATGAGGCTTTGTGAAATGCAGGTACAAGCATGGGCCCAAGTCCTCGGCTGTCATTCTCGACTCCGGGTGTTTATGTCATCAACCAGAAGCAAGAAATGTTTGTCCTGTCATAGAGGGCGACGGAAAACGCCAGAATTATCATTATTATGTCACTTTTAAAAAATAGATATTCGTGTAAGGTCTTATGAAAGCGCCTGCGCGTAGACCGAGATGCAACCCTATAAAACAAGCAGTCTCGGGATGCACAGATTTTCTTGTGCTGAAAGTCCTCATTTACGTAACTTTCAAAGTCAAATGTAAACATGTGTTCGATTAAATGTATAATTTTAGCTCATTTATTTAAATTTACTAATCTATCCCTGTTTATTCCAATTTTATATAACGGTATATGAAAACAAGTTATTGTCATTCTCTGAACACGAGGGGGCAAAGCATACATTAAACCAGCTGGTCTGTTATGTTGTTGCTGACATCACCGTTGTCAATTGCACTGCACAGCTGATCCGTGATCCCAGGGCGTGGTGCGTGGGGGTCAAGTACGCTTGTCAGTTTCACCTTCTGACTGACGGGTGCGGCGGCAAGTGTGACAACTCACTGATGTATATTGCACGCTGGGCGCCTGGTAGTTTAGCATCAAAATCACCAACACTGAAACAAACAATATATTTTAATATATCCATAAAAGCATATAAATTACAATAAACAACTTAATTCCATACTAACCACTTTGATAAATAAATGATTATTTCAATACTTAAGGATTGTCCATGATTGCTCACTTCCAGTGTCTTCAAGGGCTTTCTTCCATTAATCAGAACTATCTTTTGATTGTTTGTATGTTGTTTAACGCCACATTTTTCCAGCTATATGACGGCGTCTATAAATAATCGATTTAGGTTATATTATTTACAGGACGCCTTGATATAGACTGCCGGGCTATAAATAGAGGATTCATCACGAGTGTTTTTTAATATGAGAAATATCAACCGAGTCTTAGTTAATCGGTATTTGCCGAGCCTTTGGCGAGGCAAATACCGATTAACGGGACGAGGTTGATATTTCCCATATTAAAAAACACTCGTGATGAATTCTATTTATCATTTTCACATTTTTGCTTCCAAATTAAGGAATAATTGCATTAAACATTAACATCAGCAACTTGTCGAAATCTTACGTATAGATCGTGCGTAGTGATACATGTGTTCCATAGCCATGTAAACCAAAATAAACAATTCGCTGAGAAAAAAAGTTCCTCGGATTATTTTAAACAAAATACTTGAACAGACTTTTGCAGAATAATTGAAACTTTAATAACGGTAACAACAACGATTCTGTGTAATCTGATTATATCTCTGGTGTAACTTCACTTATAATATATAGTAACATACTTTCTTTAGACACACAGTTTATTTTGTTGTTACTGACTGCTGGGTAAGACAGTATACATACAATAAATCACCCAATCCAACATTGTATGCTGTGACATTGCAGGAATCTTAAAACAACATTCACTCACTCACACGTATGTATACTTATTCTGTGGAGAACTAGGATGGAATGATGATAATTTATAATAATTATGATTCAATTTGCGGCTTGAAACAACATTCAACCAAGAAAAGTCGCCTTTTACGGCAAGCATGGGTTGCTGAAGACCCATTCTACCCCGGATCTTCACGGGTTCATGGAAGGGTCACTGGATAGTACAACCTATACAACGCGCCATGCTTGTCCCTGTTTTGTCTTTCAAGACGGCCACGCCCGTGCCCACCATGCACATATAGTCACTGACTCCCGCCACCCGCTACGCTAGCCGAACTACGGCCAGGCGCTGCAAGAGGAGTTGACAAGACTCCCTGAAATCGTCATTCGGAGATTCATTCGGGCCATGTCATTCCGTATATACAAATGTTTGACCAATCGTGGGAGCATGACCCATAATTGATCACGTCATTTCAAACGTTCATTTTTCACTACACACCCCTGTCGTCTTTCTCGGTTGTTTCCACCCTTACAATACACCACCAACATGTTTAAATATTGACAGTGGCGGGCTACCTCGCCCAGATGAACACTACCTACTGATGAGTGAGTGAGTGAGTGAGTGAGTAGTGAGTGAGTGAGTGAGTGAGTGTGGTTTTACGCCGCCTTTAGCAATATTCAAGCAATATCACGGCGGGGGACACCAGAAATGGGCTTCACACATTGTACCCATGTCTGGAATCGAACCCTGGTCTTCGGCGTGACGAGCTAACGCTTTAACCACTAGGCTACCCGACCGCCCCACCTACTGATGAAAATCAGCATGTCGTGTCGCCTGATTACGTTATCGATAGAGCGGAGAGATACAGAGCTACTTGAGGGGATTTCCTCAAGGTCCAATAATATCGAAGCCGACACTTTTTACTTTTGTAAAACCAAGGGACCTAACTCCCAGTAGATACATAAAATTTGTGTGTGTGTGGGGTGGGGTGGGGGTGGGGGGTGGGGGGGTTATGGGGGGAGGGGGGGGGGGGGGGGCGTATAACATATTTTTGTTCATGGAAATGAGTTGGGATTGGTGAACAAGCTTTACAGCTTATGTAAACACCGCTCCCATACAACATATATTACATATTGAAATGAAGGATGTGACGTCATCGATATAGACATTATTTAAATAATATGTTTGTACATATTACATCAAATACAAATACAAAGTGAACATAAATAGAAAGTTACAGCTTGTGTGTGTTTAACAAGTCGTTTGTAACAAAAGTAATAGTCAATCATGGGGTTGTTGTCCGGTTAATTTAATTATTAATTTGTGAAGAGCTGAAACGTTTTGTCTTGATGATGAAATCGTGGACGGATTCAACTAATTTCTGGTTTTCAGAGTGAGCAAGTTCATTATTTCCGTTCATAATAGTATCCAGGTTATAACCGGTAGTATAAAAGTGCATATTAAGTCTTATCTGAGTAAAGTTACAGCAAGTAAAAAAGTAATGTAGGGCGTTTTCACTCTGATATCCACAGGAGCAACACGGACTGTCAATTAAATGTCTGTTATAATACTTATCGGCGTTTAGGTCGCTACAATCGAGTCTGAGGCGGCATTGAACTATTTGACAGAATCGAGTGCCATAGCTAAGGTCAAAATAAGTCTTATTTTCGGATTTCGTAATTAGGTTTTTAAATTCTGACAGACTACTTGACTCTTTGGAATTTGGTAGAGCATTCCATAAGTATATTGTGTCTGGTAAAAAGGATTTGGCGTAAGAAGAAGTACGGCTATAAATTCCTTGTATTTCAGAACTGTTTCTTAAATTATAGTTTGTAGTTAATATAGTTCGCTTTTAATAACTAATGTTTGGTGTTTAAATGAATTGTTTGTTATGATTAATGTATCTGTCAATATAAGGATTGAAGTTGTATTTGTTGACATTCATCAGATGATGTTAGTGTCTCACGTGAGGAAATTCCGTGATGCGCGAAGTGCTTCATGAAAAATTTGTTCACGTGAGGCACTGTCTTTATCAGCTGATGAACGTCAACATGCACAACATCAATTGATTCATTGTCAAGTTACACCTGGTCTTCCTTTTTCTTATCCATCAATTACCATCACTCGGTATGTCTTTGCATTTCTGTAATCATCTGTCATTTTCGAATATCCCAAACTTTTTTTGAGAGTAGTTTCTCAACTGTATTTCCATGAGGAATTTAATTTAGTCAGGATTGTCTTTCACGATTAATATTCTTCTGTCTCCGAGACGTGAATTCAATGATGACCGGACCGCCTCCCTGTTATAGTGGTAGAGCGTCCGCCCGGAGAGCGGAAGGTCCGGGGTTCGATCCCCGGCCGCGTCATACCAAAAGACGTTAAAAGATGGTACTTGTTGTTACCCTGTCTGGCGCTCGGCATTAAGGGGCTAAAACAAGGACGGGTCGGCTCGGAGTCAGTATACTGTGTCTGAGTGCGGTATTCATTTCAAACTGCGCCATGGTATCTCAGTGGCCTAGCACTATAAATCGGCATCAGTCCGCACTAGTACAAGCAGCAACACACACACGTGCATGCACGTCGCTATATAAGTGCAATAATCTTAGACGCGACGTTAATCTCCATTTCACCTCACCTCACCTCAATGATGATCGGCGAACGGTTTCACCATGACTAAACTGTCTCTCACCATGCTATGATACCCATTGACAGACAAACAATTCGCTATTGTACATAAACAACAAAACACTCTCTCATGAACATTGATCCCCAGCCAGAACGGAAGCTCTGAGCTTTGAGCAAAGGGACCAAAGCCAAACACACCAGTCACATTGGACAGAGTTCTACAAAGTATGGCAGAAACAAATCGATCCGCTTCGTTGTCTGTGGCAATTGACAGCGCGTCATAATGCTACGTTCCTTTCGAGTAAGAAGTTCAGTTCAGAAGAGGGATGGATAAGATCAGTATACCCTGGTTGACAATATGTGTGTGTACATGTACAATATCAGGTAGGTGCAAGTTTTTGTTGTTGATGTGAAACACTGAACCTACCAAAATAAATACAGATTCTTTATTCATTTTTAAAAAAAGTTTTAAAAATAGTTTGGAACATCTCTTGAACAACAGGGTTACTTAGATCACTTCTATTTTATCGTAGGTAGGGGCCAGCATTTCCATAGTTGTATGTCATTTGTTACCATTTGATCTTGTTTGAACAAGGTTGAAAATCAATATTAAATGTCAAGGTAAATATTGACATTGAAATATACTGAACAGCAAAAGAAACGGCACCCTAAGTAACGTTGCATGAAAAGTTGTCATTTAAAGTTGTAATTTTTGTCAAAGTTTCTAAAATTATAACTTTAGCTTGTCCGGAAAAATGAAATTTGATGATAAAAAAACAAAGCAGATGACAAAAAAACCGATCGCCCAAACGCATCACGGCAACGGCCATGGTAACCCGATGCAAATTGAAATGCACATGCGTTCCCCCATTTCTTGCCCTATAAAAATCCACCCAGAACATTCATTCGTTATTGAATTGCTACCACATGCCAAGATTGACAAGAAATCAGCGACACCAAGCCCTTGGACGATTGCAAGCTGGACAAACCGCACGGCAAGTAGCCAATGCATTTCAAGTCCACGTAAGGACCATATACAGGCTCCAGCAACGATACCAGACCACCAACACTACAGATGACCGACCACGTAGTGGAAGACGAAGGGTCACCATCCGACGTCAGGATCGTCAGATTGCGCGACAGCATCTTTAAGATCGCCGTGTTACTGCTGCCGAAACTGCTCGACAGACCATGGGGACACACCAGCGACGCTATCGTGCGGACACCGTGCGTCGACGATTGACGAGCAGTCACCTCCACTGTCACAGGCCACAACGAGGACCCATTCTGACACTGCAACACGGTGTGGACAACACAGCACCAGCATTGGCGCCACCAGCAGTGGAGAAGAGTCCTCTTCTCTGACGAGAGCCGTTACTGTATCTCAACAGCAGATGGCAGAGAGAGTCTGGCGACGCCGTGGTGAACGTTATTCGGGTGCGTGTGTTGTTTAGAGACTCGTAGGGTGGTCCGAGCATCCTGGTGTGGGGTGGAATTGGTCTTGCACAGAGGGTCGGCCCTCTGGTCCAGGGAGAGGCAGTGGTGTCACAGCAGCTCGGTACATTGAACAAGTCTTGAGACCACACGCCATACCTCATTTGGTACGTCGCCGCAACCACGAGTTTCAGCATGATAACGTCCGTGCCCACACTGTGAGAGCAACAGGAGACTTCCTCAAGCAGAATGGCATCAGAACCATGCAGTGGCCTGCCCTCAGTCCCGATTTAAATCCCATTGAGCACCTGTGGGACGAGATATCGATTCAAAGACGGCTGAATGACGTCCGACCAAGGCCGACAACTGCAGCTGAACTACGTCAGGCGTTACTCAGAGTATGGACTCAAGTGCCTATGGCCTTCATCGACCGCCTCATCCATTCCATGTATCGATCGCGATGTTGCACGACAGTCATCAATGCACATAGCGGACACACGAGATACGGACTTGTGATGCCAGTTTCTCAGAGACTAGTGTTGTGTTTCACTTTAAGAACATTTGACACTTTAATTTCAACCTTGATGATCAGTTTTGCCAGGTTTCATCTTTTTAATATGTCTCAAAGTATGTTTACAGTGTTTGGACAAATCAGGTTCCTCATATATCTATCCATGGTGACGTTTCTTTTGCGGTTCAGTATATATTGCTTTTGAGTGAGTCACAAAAATATATTTTTGCAGCACTTCATCACGCTTATTGCTTGTTACTAAGTGAGTTCCATTTTAAACAATCTTCAGTGCAATTGTTTTAGGCCCATTTCAACAAGAAAACTATTATGTCATGAAAGGAGTCGATCGAATGTGTGATACATGTACATGTATTGTGAATATGTGTGTATATTGCACCTTGTTGTCCTTAAGCTAGTTTAAATAAGGTTTACGTTTGATCTGATTTTTACCTTACAGTCCATGTGTCGCTATTGACGACGACTTTTGATAATTTTAGCATTGTTCCCATTGCTTTTGGGCTGAGATAGTGCCAATGCAACGTCAATTTATCACTCGCTCGCACAAAAGCCGATAACAATCAGTATCGGATCGCGAACTGGTTCCATGACATTCTACCCGACCACTGGTTTATATAAATCAAACTAGATTATTTTTACATGCCGTCGTTACCGAGTAATTATATTGCTCACTGCTGCGAACATTCGCCCACCCACTATGTGGAACGTAATAGTGAAGTTTTAAACCTACTCTGCATACTGACTTCAAACTAAGGCTATGGAATTAGGCATTCCTACTTTTGAAGTAGAACATCACACGTTCATTACAATGTAATTTGCATATACATGCAGGTTTAGAATGCCGTAGATACGCTCGTTCAAACATTTTAATATTGAATCAAATTAATACTACCCGATTCTTGCAGTAGAAAGTAAGCCAGTTAAATCTGTTGACATTTATTGTGTTATATATTTTTTTCATGCGTATTTATGTATAATGCAATTTACTGACTTTTGTAACAGCTTTACTGTGTCCAGAAAAACAACAACTTGAAAAGTCATTTGTCCTCAGTATTCGCTCAAGAAAATATATTATTCGCTCAATATGCTGGATGTCCAAAAAAACGTGTTGGAAAACAACTTAAAGAGTTCGGCTCCTTTTTTCACAGACAAAGAACTGCTTGTTTTGAAGTAGCACGAATTGACACAAGTGAATCAGCTCAGTCTAACATATCTCTGGCAAGTCTTTCAAAAACAACAGATACTAAAATAGTTTTCATTCTCAAAGCCTCGAAAAGCATAATTATTCGTGAACACAATGCCAATATGGACCTTTGAACAACATGTACGTTTGACTAGTATGCACGTCTAACAAATGTAAGTCTGGACAACATGTGTATGTCTGATGCGTCTTGGGGCGGTCGGGTAGCCTAGTGGTTAAAGCGTTCGCTCGTCACGCCGAAGACCCGGGTTCGATTCCCGACATGGGTACAATGTGTGAAGCCCATTTTCTGTTGTCCCCCGCCGTGATATTGCTGGAATATTGCTAAAAGCGGCGTAAAACCATACTCACTCACTCACTGATACGTCTGAATGATATGTCTGAACACCGTCAACCGTCCACAAACACCACAGTATCGTTACTTTTGCCTTGCAATTCACTTGCACCCACTTTGATGTGAACAGGTGTTGGAACAAACAACATCGCTCTGGGTAAACCGGCAACACAGAGTTCTGTTACCTATGGTGGGACGGCAAATCGGGCTGTTGATGGTAACCGCGATTCCAATTTCTGGAGAAGGAGTTGCATTCACACATTACACGGAGAAACTGACCAGTGGTGGTCAGTCGACCTCTTGTCCATCTACAGGATCCACACAGTCCGGATCCAGAACAGAGGGGACGATGATGGTAAGTACACAGCATGGGGAAACAGGCTTTGGATAAGGACAACACGGAAAAGGCTATAAAACGTGCATTACTATACACGACCAAAGCTTTTAGAAATCATTAACGAAGTTTTCATATTCGTTTATGAAACCGGGTCAGGGACTTGTCATTTGATATAGGGAGGGGAGGGAGGCAAGGAGTGATGAGATCGGGCTTATGACTGTATCAAATGCGCTGAACCCCTTTATGTAAATTTTGTTTTCATGTAAAAGTTATAATGTTCCCCTAAATGACCAGATCCTAAGTAGCGTTCAAATTTGCAACATTTTGTTTTCGAAAAAAATACAACTGTGTCATGTTTTCATGCCTCACCACCCCAATATATAGTTGTGATAAATGTTTGAGTCTGCAACCCATGCTCGTCTCAAGATGAAACTAACGGGATCGGGTGGTCAGGCTCGTTGACTTGGTAGATATATGTCGTCGTATCCCATTTGCGTCGATCGATGCTCATGATATCAAACACTTGATTCTCTGGTCCAGACTCGATTATATTCAGACTGCCACCATATAGCTGGGATATTGCTGAGTGCGGCGTTAAACAACAAACAAACAACAAACAAACAAAGCACATCAGCATATCGTGGCCAACTTTGATGATAGACCCCAATCAGGATGGCCAGGATCGACACCACCTATCAAGGGTCGTCTAGACCCATGTTCTGCAGAAATGAGGACCAAGAGCAAATCAAAACACAAAATAGGCCTGTTGGTGTTAGAGTTCCCGGGATGACCATTCGCATTTGACTTTCATGCAGTTCACCTGCGTGTTCGTCGACCACCTGTTATCAACGTTTGACTGATTCAACATTGCAGCACTGCACCAGTGGTGCAGACAGCGTCGTCACTGGGATAGTAGGCCATGGTCACGTGTCAAGGGTCACATCAGGCGTCCTTTATAGGCGAGGTTGTGTTTGGAAACGTTCAAATACATCACGACAATGTCTGATAAGAAACGTTCCAAATACACGACGACACTGTCTGTTTGGAAACGTTCCAATACACGACGACAATGTCCGGTGGTGGCTCAGTGATTGCATGCAGTGGGACCATCATGGCCGACTGAACGCCGTTGACCCTAGGAGGATAAAACGAAGGTACTAACGTGACAACATTTTGGCGGCTACCGTGGTACACATGCAGTCAGGCTGTTACTGTATACGTGCAGCAGCAGAACGATTTCATATTTCTTCTATGGTCAGCGCTGAGCACGTATGGGACATCATCGGGCGTCTACGCCCCAAACAGCCGTCGACCGCGCTGGATGAACTCGGCCCTGTGCTTCAAGGTAGAATACAAAAACAACAACATTGGCCGCATCATCATTGTGAATGTTTAAATCGTTGTGGGTTCATCTATTACTTAAGGAAACATGTGTAACGTGCATATGTCAGAATGAACCCTTGGTGATTTTTATGAACGTTTACCCCCAGTTTCCTTTGTTTAATCAACTCGTGAAGATTCTGATTTGCCAATTCAATCATTGTAATGTTTACTCATAAACATAACTAAAACACACCCTACTTTGTTTAATTGTATTATAAATTTAGTTTTGAAGCCTAACCGTGGCACATTGATACTAAGCTATTATAGAATAGAGTTGTTTTGTGTGTTTGTTGTTTATCAAGTCTGGACCAGATAATCCAGTGATTAATATCATGAGCATCGATCCACGCAATTGGGATCGATGACATGCATCAACCAAGTAAGCGAGCCTGACCACCCGATCCCGTGAGTCGTCTCTTACGACAAATGTAGTCGTCTTTTACAGCAAGCATGGGTTGCTGAAGACCTATTCTACTCCGTGTCTTCACGGGTCGAATAGAGTTGTGCCCGACTTTGGAATATTGTTTGAGGACGGAATTATGTATGGAGCTAAATCGTGTGACGTTCTGCCGATCTCTAACGCATTGTTTGCGGATATAATTCATCGGGATGATATATGCAGCTATTACAGTTCGAGGTTGTCCGTCCTATTGTACATACTAAGCGTGAAGGTGTGGTATATCTATTGTCCATCTATTATCATATTTTCCAACAGCTGTTTTACCCAAAACCATAAATAATGTGATTATTAGTTTTTGACAACAACAGACACTTATCAATCAGCTTAGAAGCATAACTGTATAACTTTTTTTTCAACCATCGAATGGTACCAAAATCAATAAGAATACTGTTTACAGTTTAGTCGTTCTTCAAAGACGACAAAGGCTGAACTGTCAGTTGGTCTTCTGTGCATTGGATCGACCATTGTTCATATGAGTACACAGTATAACTTTCTATGCACGTACCAGAAACCACCCATGCCTTTGGGGTATATTTCTTGATCAACTACACCGACTCACATCACACGATATCTATCCGTCACGATATCCGTGCAAGTAATGATTGGCCCGGTGCACACACAACATAATCAGGCAGTCATCTGCCAATCAGTGTTCAAAATTGACTTAAGTATTTCTTAAATTATAACTGAAAAGGACAGGTATATTCTGTAAATCATATAAAAACACATATGTAAAGCACATAAAAGCAGATTAATCAAAGGGCGAGTATTCCAGAATATTGTACCAAAGGATGTAATTCACCCTATGTTAAACAATCGTTAGATCAAATACCACCGAGATAGACCGATTAAGCACTGTTACGACGTAAATTGTAATAAAAAGGTAAATTGTAATACTTGCAGCAAATTGGCGTCTTGGACACTACGGTAGTAAGGTTATTACAATTTACGTAAGAATTTATTACATTTTACCGCAAGTAGAGATTATTACAATTCACGTCATTTTTTATTACAATTTGCGTATTACAATTTACGTCAAATTTTATTACACTTAACGTTGTTATTACAATTTACGTCAAAATTATTACAATTTGCTGCAAGTATTACAATTTACCTTTTTATTACAATTTACGTCGTAACAAGCACGTTTGTAATTCGTGTGTGAGGTAGATGCATTTTGGTAACTGATAGCCAGAAGCATATTTACGAAAATTAAAATTGACTTTAAGGAAAGCTTCGTCCATTGACAACACCATATCACCATGGAAACGTCAATGTTGTTACCCTTTTTGGACTGATATTTATGTTGAAGAGACACAACCGAACTTATCGACACAAGTCAGCCAGTATACATCGGGCATCAACAGAAATGTTTCCAATTGTGTCTACCTAGATTTCAATTCTGAAAATCACTCCGTCCTTCACATGAAAAACTTAGGATATTAGAAAATATATACCTTCCTTCTAATGATGTAACACCATGAAATGCAGTCGACGTTATAGAATGTCCAGAGACTATAACTGAATTCGACTGTTCTGTACGACAATGCCATATGGATGTAATGACAAAATAAAATACGTAAGTAGTCTTTCTAAGCAGCGAATTGCAAACGTCACTGCTTTGAGTCTGTTTCCGGCATCCAAAAGACGCAGCGATGGTCATAAGAAAGGTCGAGGGCCAAACAATACCAATTATTTGGAAGATGTGTTGTCTCTCCTTCATGAACCATTGGGACTGCACAAGTAAGGACAACACTGTAATATGTTTCACTGAAAGGAATCACACGACTCCAGTAACGCTTGATGAGGGTCTCTCACAAGCGCACAGTATCGAGAAGAGAGTAGTAGTTACTGTTGTTACTTTGAAATGGTTGGCCAAACGAGAAACATACTTCTCTAGATCAGACAAAGACCGCATGTTCTTGAGTTTGAAATTTGCACACAGGTGAATTAAAGTAGCATTACTTTATTACAAAACGTGGTGACCATAGATAGATACTAGTATCTATCTTCAGAGGATCAGGACAATTTGTCAAAAAAAAAGCAAATGCCATCTGAAGTTTACTGAGAAAACAATATGTGAAATGCTCGACTTCCTCATTGATAACATCTAAGTCACATTTAGGGGTTAAACATCAGGCAAGAAGTAGCTGATCTATTTTTTTATGCATGTGAATCGTCATCGTCTCTGATTGGCAAAGTGAAAACAAGGTACTTTGACCAAGAAGTGTTAACTTAAGCTTCAGGTATATTGATGATCTGAAATCGTTCAACAACGACCAAATAGCCCATTTCATTCAACCGAATTACCCACCTGAACACATCGGTGACCGTCTCATCTGTTTCGTATTTAGATCTATGCATATAGATTCAGAGTGACAAACCACTCTCCACAATATTTTATGACAAGAGGATGACTTCTTCATTCCCATGGTCAACTTTCCCCTTTTTACTTTGAACAATATTCCTGCAGCTCCAGCCTTTGGTGTTTACTTTTCACACCTTTTGAGGTACAATCGAGCATGCTCTTTCTTCCAAGTTTCCAAAGGGTGTCACATGACTTTTACTCAGAAGTTGTTCTATCAAGATTCCAAAGTTCAAGGCCTCAGTAAAGCCTTCAAAGGGTTGTATGGTAGACACGTGGAGGACATGATTTTGTTCCCCTGTTTTGTCCGGTGAACAATTGACTTTCCTTTGAATGTGTTTGTGACGGGTAGGCCTGTAGGGCAGAATATGCCTTTTCGCAAACACCTGGTAGCATTACTATTTGATAGTGATTCATAAACAAATGCTCATGATATAGACAGAATCATACAGTCTACTTTGCTTTCTTATGGATATGGAAAGGAATTTGCCGCTTGTATTTAGGGTAGTCAAATTCTGACTGTGTCACATCAAACGGAACTTTAGACGGAACCTCGCCACTTGAAATGGAATCAAATGGCCGCTGACTGTCACCTGACTTCCTATCCTTACCTTCGTTGAAACCACGTGGTTAAAACTCAACGATGATGGTTATCGCTAGCAAAGTGGATGTTTCTTTAAAAAGCTATTATGCATTCTAAGAGGCGAGGACTAAAGCGAAAAAACAACAACAACAAAACGCACATTTATGAATAACTTTAAAGTTAAAGAGACGACAACAGGTTTTCGCCAAATGTTCGAGCATGTCATCTTGAGTGAATTTCATTGTAGCACTGAATACAAAACATCACTTCATAACGGAAATGACGTCATTGCTAAGTGACGTCATCTCGGACATGATATATTGTGAAAATGAGATTGCGTGTCTTGAATACATAGAGGATATTTATCTCTTCATGTTGGAGAACATGTTTATCTCATTGGCTGATCTGACACTTGATTTTCATGAGCGACGCAGCCACAAATGAAGATGTAACCTCTTTCAGGTTACGCGTTCAGTTAAACGTGTTATTTGAATGAAAAGCCACATTGTTTAACATGCATATTGTGACACATTAATTTTCCGCTTGGAATACCAGAAGGGATAGTGCGGCAGCGTAGCCCTTACAAAACCATGCAAAAGGTTGACGGAACTAACCAAAGCGCGCCATCGCGACAACACGACAGTTTGACCATTGTCGCCTTTCATTAAAAAACAAACATAATATTCAAAACATTGTCTCGATATCACGCTTTGGTTAATTTTATGACTTGTGACTGGTTTCGTAAGGGCGACAACGCCCCTTATTTCACAAAATACACAATAAAGTATGTTTTTGTTTTTAGGATTCAAATTTCATGACTTTGAAGTGGAAGTGTACAAACAGAGCCCAGGCCATTGTCCAGGCGCCAACAAGACAACGTGTGCCTCACACCCAGGAGCAGCGAACCTCGGTGAAAACGTTCAGCTGACGTGCGCTGAGGGGACAATTGGCAGATACGTAAAACTACTGAAATTACCGCAGTTCATATCCAGCCCTGAGGACGCGCTAACCATCTGTGAAGTAGAGATCGAAGGTGTTCTTGTTCATCAATGCCTAAAAGGTGGTGCTTTGAGTTGACTTTGAATAAGCTGAAAGTTTTGGTACAAACCTGTTCAAGCAATATAAATTGATTTCCCAATGGATCAGTGTGGTCCTATTTCAGAATTGCACGATCGAAAACCATTCACAGTTCAGGTCTTGTGGGAGACATATTGATAACACATTTAATGTGTTCGTTCTTGTGTAACATCATGCTCAACCGAATGTGACGATTATTTATTTAAATATATTTATTCACAAGAGGCGAACGGGATTGGTGGCCAAGTTCTTAAAACTTAGATTGTATTTCCATTTTCGCGACCTGGAAAGGGATGTCTTCAGAGAACAAAGATATGATTTTAATGAAATTGTAGTGTACATATAATGTGGGACTGCCTTACACATATAGCTTCTTTAGCTGTAAAATCGTGATCTGCATTGCCGTATAACTATAGGTATGGTATTAACAATATTTTTTAAAACTGTTTAACATAATTAAACGCTCATGACTAAACAGTGTCCTTTCCATGAAATAATGATATGCATTTTCACATGCATTTCAACATGTTCAGTGGGGGTGATCTTTTATACCAATTCTACATAAATCATAATTCAGTTGACTTAACATGTATCTCTGTTTTGCGTGTACGGTTTTATATGTTAATATTTTATACAGTAAACTACGGTTATAACGAACTCAAAGGGACCACTAATTTTAGTTCGTAATAACCGTAGCTCGTTATAAGCATATATACAGCATATATACATCAAATGGCCGGGACTAAAAAAAAAGTTCGTTATAAGCGTGTTCGTTATAAACGTAGTTTACTGTATTCGAAATGCGAAGTACGAAGGTGGCGTTTGACGATTTGTGAAACCGTGTGTACATTGTTGATCTGCAATGATATACTTTGAAGCCTTTTAACTCTTTCATTGTCAGATTTAGCGATGTATTTTCTGTTACACAAGCTATCAAATTGCTAATTCAAATAGTGTGTTATTTACTCCGTGGAGATACTGGAGTAGAATGAGCCACCAGTAACCTATGCAGGGCGGTTGTACCAAAGAGCAGAGTGACAGATTTGAAAAACTCCCAACAAGAAGCAGAAAGAATTGTAACTGGTTTACCAAGCTATACTTCCGACTTGGTTGATGCATGTCATAGTATTCCGATTGCGTGGATCGATGTTCATGATATCAATCACAGGATTGTCTGGTCCAGACTCGATTATTTACGGATCGCCATCATATAGCTGGAATATATTGCTAAGTGGGACATTTAACAACAGACAACAAATGTAAAAGTCGACAAAATAAATCAGTGGTCACGTCGTACTGATTGCGTGTCAACGTGCACCGATAGCTTAGATCGTTGTTCATGCTTTCAGTCACTGGTTTGCCTGACCATGACTTGATTATTTACTGGCAGTCCTGATATAGCTGGACTATTGTTGAGTGGCATTAAACAACACCTCATTTGTTTCACTGGGCTCTGGGGCTACAGTAAACCGATGTGTATGAATCTCATTCTCGTCACCTCGACGTGACATGACTTGACTATTTCTAAAAGCGGTGTATAACAATACGATCTCATCCATAGTGTAGTATATCACGTACAAACTTATCCTTATCATAGACCAGTTAAAACTTGTTTTTCTTGCATTGTGTTTCCACTTGTAGATTAATTGTCTGATGACTTACAAATATATTATTATTGTTTGCAGATAGACAATTCCATAAGCATGCAGGGAATAAGATGCAGTCTTCAAACCCGACTAATACTGGATTAACGCGGGCGGAGTGTTCCAGGAGATGTTACTATGACAATGGTTGCTATGGTATCAACATCCGGGTCACTGATGATGAATGTCAGCTCATCACTGAATTCGATAGCAATACATTAGCAGACGACAGTGGATGGAATTATTATCGGCTGTGTTAAGTCATTCAATGAAAAAACATCTATTCAGTGTTTGTCCATTAACACATTGTCCTTGTCCATTTAAAGGGATGAGATTGTGGATTAATTCCTATCAGCATGTGACTGACGCATTGCGTTTTGTTGTCGACTGAATAATCCGTGAAAAGAATAACTACTTCAATTACGAAGCACAAGTTTAACACAAGACACCGTGCAGATTTATTACATCAGGACGCAATGAAGGATGGATACATTTGTGATTGTTGCGGAAGAACTATCAAGTGTTGGAGTGTTCTGAAAACATATTTGCGGACAATATGTCGTTGATATGTCGCTCTGAAACCTTGTAGCGACCTCAGTGAAACGACACGTGAAGATCCGGGGTAGAATAGGTCTTCAGCAACCCATGCTTGCCGTAAAAGGCGACTATGCTTGTCGTAAGAGGCGACTAACGGGATGGGGTGGTCAGGCTCGCTGACTTGGTTGATGCATGTCATCGATCACAATTGCGTGGATCGATGCTCATGATGTCAATCACTAGATTGTCTGGTCCAGACTCGATTATTTACAGACCGCCGTCATATAGCAGGAATATTGCTGACTGCGGCGTTAAACAAATCAACCAACCTCAGTGAAACCTTTCAGAGACCCCTGAAACCTCATTGCGATTGTCAAATATTTTGGTCACAAGAAAGTTGCATCGCGGTCGCATTGTCTGTGTGACTGAGGTTTTAATCATAGGAAGTCGGAGACCATATTGCGGTTCCGACTATAGCATAAACATGTTTTGATTAATAACTTTAAGATAGTGATGACAACATTTGCGAAAAGGTGAGAGTATTCTGCACCACCGAAGGCAGGGGTTTCAGAGGGAAGTCAAGTGTTCACCCGAACACACACGGAATATATGGTAAAAGTCAAAAGGCATTATCTTTATTTTTGGTTACTTACGGTCAAATTTTGATAGCTGTTCTAATGCCTTCAATGCTGTAACCCTGATCAAACAATATCTGAGCAAGTTCTTGAAAATATTCGCGGAAATTGTACCTCAAAACATATACAGTAAACTACGGTTATAACGAACTCAAAGGGACCACTAATTTTAGTTCGTAATAACCGTAGTTTGTTATAAGCATATATACAGCATATATACATCAAATGGCCGGGACTAAAAAATAAGTTCGTTATATCCGTCTGTTCGTTATAAGCGTGTTCGTTATAAACGTAATTTACTGTATATGGGAAATATCGACACCAAAGGCTGGAGCTGCAGGAATATTTGTGGACATGAAGAGAAAGTTTACTATTGGATAGATTAAGTCACCCCTCTTGTCATCAATCTCTGCATAGATCTAATATGAAACAGATGAGGTGGATGCGTAATACACAAACAGATCAGCGGACCCCTTTAAGATCGTCATAAATTACAACAATAATCCCTATGTCAAACTTGTTACATTTAATCAAAGGTACAGGTGATGCTTACACATGAAGATCAAATAATTATGTTTAATTCCTAATGAATGCTTGGTTGAGAATGGTGACAATTATATTGACCGTCGGGGCTGTTAACAGTGCAATGGTCAGCGGGCAAACAATGTGTTTCTGAAAATGCTAAAAAAAAATATTAAAATAATATCTTTTTAATGGATATTAAAAATCAAACGATTTGTTTGGCACTACCTTTCGGATGAACAAATTGCATGTTTCAAAACTCTGACTGATATATTGAATTGTCGGTCCTTTATTCATACTCTCAAATTACAGTCACCACCCTTGTGTCATCTTGGGCGGATACAGAGAGGGGGGGGGGGGGGGGTGCGCACCCCCCCCCCCCCCTTTTTATTTCGAAAAAAATCTTTATTTCTGTATAAATTACCACCAAAGACGATAAATAGATCTTAATTGTGCACCCCCCCTTTTCAAAAAAGCTGTATCCGCCCATGGTCATAACGCGTTGACTACTGTTCAACGCGGCGTTAAACTCACTCACTCACTCAAATAAACTTCATGGACACATGTTACCCGGTTACCCACATGTGACCTCTGTAAAAACCAATACAATCGCTGTATCATTTTGTTCCATTACCTATTTTGCGATCTCTGGTCGTCATTTGAACCCGACAGGTCAAATCAAACCAGCATCACACTGCATTGCTTCTAATCAACCTGTCAGGACCTATCGGGGCACGGGTGGCCCAGAGGTCTAAGGCGCCGCGATTCGCTGTGCAGAGTTGCGTCCCTTGGGCTCGCCAAAAACCTATGATTATGGGTTCGAATCCCGGTTCGACCCGATTATGTTCCTAGGTTTGTCAGCACCATACCCTTGCTCGTGGGTTTAACCGAAGTGGTAGACGTCTGAGCCCTGCATCACTTCGGGCTTTCCTCCCACATTAAGCTGACACGCCGTGATATAACTGGAATACTGTTAAAAGCGGCGCTAAACCCAACTCACTCACTCACTCACTCACTCACTCACTCACTCACTCACTCACTCAGACTTATCTGTTTTCCTTTCTTGTTGTATATGGTAATGAAGCTTCATTTAATATGTTCCTTTTATTAATAAATGTTATAAGAAGTGTGCATGCTCGTCTCGGCATAAAGCACAATAGTTTAAAGGATTACATATCAAAGCACTTGATGGTGCCTGTTTTTATCATGTTTCGTCTGTCATAGTCTGATGATTTTATTGTTCTAACACTAGTTTTAAAATATAATACGTGATTATTTCCTGTTGTTGTACTATCCTTCGACGACAGTTTATATATATATATATTTGAGTGTATATATACTGAACAACAAAAGTTCCTGTGACATTGAATAAGATAAAATGCAAAGTTATGTTTTTACCACATCTGAAACACTTTCGGTTTGCAACAGATAAAAGACTCCTGTATGTGTTCAAATGGTTTAATTTGCCATACTGACTTCAGAAAATACGTGATTTCATAAAAAACATGAACATGCCAAAATGTCACTTTACAAATCAATAGCGTGTGTACATGTGTCCACCTCTGGCTGCGATGCAAGCAACACATCTTCGTCTCATGGAATGGACCAGGCGTCGCACAAGGTCCTGTGGGATATCTGTCCATATCTGCTGGAGCATGTTTCGAAGTTCCTGAAGTGTCTGTGGAACACGTGGTTGACGTCGAAGGCGCCGATCCATCTCATTCCACATGTGCTCGATTGGTGAGAGATCAGGGGAGCGAGCCGGCCAGGGGATGACATTCACGTTGTTGTTTTTAAGAGAATCCTGAACAAGTCGAGCAATGTGAGTCCGGGCGTTGTCATGTTGAAAGGTAATGCCTGGGGCTTGCTTTAAAGTCAACTTTTGCATGGAATGCATGCTTTTCTGTAGCAGTTGCGTTTTGTGACTTGATTCCATACATGTACTACAATATTGAAAACCAAACTTTACTTGTTAAATATTTTTAATTGTTAAAAATACACAAAAAATATTGGTGTCACAGGAACCTTTGTTGTTGAGTATATATATACTCACCGTCAAAAGAAACGCGAACCATTGAAACATGAAGAGAAGTATGTACGTTATGAAGAGATGTTTCCAATGTGTACCGCTTAATGACCAAACTAACAATCAGTCAAGTGTTACCATAGAGTGACTTTATTCTTATCACGTGATATGAATATGCTGCACGTGGTCTCCACATTTTACACGCTAATCCTGCACGAGACAAATGGTGTATCTCGAGTCATGGATCTATGACGTCACATGTGATGCGTTCATGAATATCGGTTCACACAACATACCAGTATGTTCGTTTGTGCATTGAACCAATCTAATATCTCTGGAATATGAGTAAGTCTTTATCTATTAACCAACATGTATGGTATTCGTGTTTCATTTGGCTGTGAGTATATATTGATGGAAACGAAAAAGGAAACATTTAGTATCAGACACGGTAAAATGGTATGCTAGCATGGGTTCTCAACCTTGTCTAACAAACACGCATTGGCAACAATGCACACAAACACATCTGAGCATTGATTCTGACATGTGTTGAATTTGTATGCGCGCTATTTCAAATGTACTGACAGTAAATCTTATTGGCCAATATGTTTCATTGTGCCCTTATACGTTTCCAACAGTATGTAATATATATGCATAACTCACTCACTCACTATAGTTACATAATAGTTTAAATGTTATTTTGTGATAGTCTAGCTATTTTACTGTCCTTTTTTGACAGGTTTGTATGTAGTCTAAAGGTATTTATCTTTAATGTATAACGTTTCATAGTCACGAAATACTGCCGATGTGACTTTACATTTGAACTCACTCACTCATTAACTCAAATCTTCAACAGTTCGTCGTGCATATATAATATGACTAATGTATAAGACAATCCAACTTGTGGTCTAGTGGTAGAGCGTCCGCCCGGAGAGCGGAAGGTCCGGGGTTCAATCCCTGGTCATACCAAAAGACGTTAAACGATGGAACCTGTTGTTACCCTGTCTGGCGCTCGGCATTAAGGTAATAAAAGAGTGGCCGGCTCGGAGTCAGTATGCAGCGTCTGAGTGGGGTATTCATATTTAAACTGCGGCAAGGTATCACGGTGTGCTGGCACTATAAATCGGCAAAAGTCAAACTAGTACAAACAGCCACAAAAACACGCACGTCGGTATGTAAGTGCAATAATCTTAGACGCGACTCGAAACCCAGTTTTAACTCACCTCACCTCACCTCACCTCACCTCACCTCACCTCACCTCACCTCACCTCACCTCACCTCACCTCACCTCACCTCACTCCACCAATCCAGCTTGCACCAATTAGAAACACCTTTAAAATTGGAACTGTTTCCATCAGGACTTACCTCATATGGGCATGCACAGCAGGAGTATTCAAAGTGATAGAATTAAGTCTGTATTGACTGGACTGGTCTGAGTACTAATATTCATGTTAACCCTAAGATATATTTCGGCAATGTATTGACATCACGCGTCTATTTAAGACTTAAAGCTACACGCTGTTGTGTTCTGCTTATACTACGTAATTGTACAATGTATGCGTTACAAACAATACATAAATACATAATAATATATGTATTGTATTAATAAACATTGCTTAATTAAACATTGTTATGATATTTTCTTTACCTGAACCTTATTCTTTCAATTCCCATGTCGAGTTGGGGTTAGAATTGTAGATCCTGGGCAACCGGACCCGTGAAGATTCGGGTTAGAATACGTCTTCAGCAACCCATACTTGCCATAAAAGGTGACTATGCTTGTTGTAAGAGGCGACTAACGGGATCGGGTGGTCAGGCTTGCTGACTTGGTTGATGCATGTCATCGTATCCCAATTGCGTGGATCGATGCTCATGATGTCAATCACTGCATTGTCGTCCAGACTCGATCATTTACAGACCGCCGTCATATAGCTGGAATATTGC